CCAAGATGTATATAGCTCATCTAGTTCTTTCTCTAAGTGTATATGACAATCATCAGCCACAGACAGGTGCTCAAAAATCAGTTTCTAGATGGACTTCACTCTAAATTATGTTCTTTTGAGTTTTGATGAGATTAACTAAAGTGTCATTTTAGTTGCTGTTATAATAATTTTTTTCTAGAAATTATTTCTTGTCGAATAAACCCTGCACAAATACCTAAAATCTAAATTAATTTAAGCTACCTTAAAAGCATATAATGATAAAAGAGCAAGTAAAATTTGAAAAGGCCAAGCAAAGACTTGTTAAAATGGCAAATTATGAGAAAAACATTCCTTAGTGATGTAACTAGGGTATCTCTGATGTTCATAAAAATGGAAAAGGGTCATGTTGAAATAGTAAGATTTCTAATGTTCCAGAGGAATTTGAAACTCAAATACTGTGGAAGTCAAAGCTTGATTGTCATCAAGCACCATTGAAAGTTCTTGAGAAAAATTTTTAAACCCAACAGAGTCCATTTAAATTCATTTCTCCGTATTATAAAGCTGTTGATTTAAAATCAGCTTCTGATTTTATTCTATGTAAAGTCAATTTACTTGGTGCTTTCTGGAGCCAATATCTTCTTTGATATAAAATCCCTATTTGACCTCTATGATGTTAATTATTTTTTAAGAGCTTATGTAAGTTTCCTAAGATAATGTAGCCAAAAGAGCAGACATATTTCTCTTCTTGAGTTCTTATTTATCTCTAGATTCTCTATAGAAATTCCTCTTTGGAAATAAGGTTAGCAGCTTGGGGCATAGAGTAGCAAATCTGTTTTCTTAGGATTTGAGCCTTTATCCCTGGTACATGAAATTCATCAATAATTCTACATTTTTATTTGTTATGAAGATGAGCATATGGTTGGCAAATGAAAACATGGTGGTAAATAAATACTGTTCATTTAGTGATTTACTTCAGCTATAAAAATTTTCAAATCATCTGCTAGTATTTGCTCTTTCTTATTTGGTAGAAAAAAAAAATTATTTTCCCTTACCTCTTGAATTTGGTACAGTTTTGGAACCAAAATGAGACTCTCCCTGTTTATTTTAGCTGAAGCCCTAAGACAGAAGATTTCAAGGTGAGATGTGAAAACACCTTTAGTTCTTACATGAGGAGGAAGGAGAAAACCAGTTATGTGGTTCTTAAGCTACTTAACCATGTCAAAGATATACAAGGATTAGGAGGTTGGAAATTAAGGAAAGGAGGATTTTTTGAGAGAAAGTTGTTAGTGTGCTAAGTGTCCCATCACACCTCCAAGGAGAAGGAATGGGGTGCATCTCCCTTGATCCAAATCCAAGAAAGAAAGGCTTTAAGGAGATGTAGAGCTTAATAAGTAACCCCTACCATTTAGCACCAGCTATTTGACTCATGCCTGGGAAATCTAAAGAGCATGAGACTGTTGGCTAGCTGCTTTGAAGGTGGAGTGACAAAGATATGGCTGTGTTGGGTGACCTGTATTTTTAGAGTTTGTTGGAGTAAATGTTACTTAAGTATATATCATGGATCAGAGATGGGCCATATGCACAAAGTTGTCTTAGACCTAGAAACTGCATGGAAGGGCCCAGTGATCCTAATAGTCAAGTGAACTGCCATATTCCCAGGAGCAGAAAGCAAAGAAAGAGCTTCATCTAAATCAAAGGATATGCAAGTGACATTCAGACACCCTCCCTCCCAATGCAGTTGGCCAGCCTATAGTAGGACTGAATAGGGAAATCAAAGTGACTGTAACTTTGAAATTTAAGTTTGTGTTACTAGTATGGATATATTAATTGTTGAGTATTTTCATTTCCTGAAAATGAACGAAAACATGAATTCTACCCTCAATTTTATGCATAGACATGGTAAGCCCCATAAAATAAGTTAAAAGAAATACTGAAAGTCAACAATAAAGTTTATTTATTATTACACACCAAAAGTTTTGGCTTATTCAACTTAATGATCTTTTTATATATATATTCAAGAAAATGATGATCTTTAAAGAATAGAAGAGTTGCTTATTGGGAAATAATATTATACATATCTTTTGATCCCTAGCTTACTGTTTTATCTCTGTAGTCAGTATTTCTACCCCTTCTACTTGACCCTGTCCATGTTTCAGTGAGAAGGTACTAAAGCCAAGTAAAAAAGAATAAGAGTCAGGAAGATTTTTGTAAAATTGTTTTATCCATGTGATTTTATATCTTCTCCAAAGCTCTTCTACAGCTTTTCTTGATTTAATATTTTGCCACTTCTTTCTTTCTTTGCCCAGAGCTAAAGTAGGGGTATCAAAATCAGGGGGCCTTGATTAACCTTCATACTAGATCACACATTATTAGATATCTGAAATTTAGTTGTTGTATTTTTAGAAGGATATAATCAAGTTCTTAAGGTTCTATAACAGGTTAAATAATAGAAGTAACTTGGCATGTTCGCATATGCCTGTAGTCCTAGCTACTCAGGAGGCTGAGGTAGGAGGATCACTTGAGCCCAGGAGTTCAAATCCAGCCTCAGCAACATAGCAAGACCCCATCTTTATCCTGTCTTTTATATATGTTGTATTGTTAATACAGTATTTCTAAAGGCTAATACTCTAATATTTAATAAATTTTAAATATATAATAGGAATCTCTAAAATATTATCCAAATATATGTTATTATCATTATTGTTTCCAGGTTGGTTTCCTGGGAACAGTCTGGCCTCCAAGTTTTGGTAGGCTTGCTTGTGCTATAGCTATACTTATGCCTTTTATTTAATTTCCGTATAATGTTGGGACTCCTTAGAATGTAGGAGAGATAATGAGGGAGAAGAATAGGGAGAGAGTGAGATATTGATGGAGAGATGTTAGAAAAAAATAGTAATAAAGTGGGGACAACATAGAACTCTTTGGAGATCGTATGGTGGAAAACAGCCAGACAATGTGATGATGTTCACATGAACAAAAGGAGAGATGATGTGAATGTCTATCTTCATAAATTAGGTCTCATAAGGCCCTTCTAGGTGATCCCATAATACCGTCACCAAGAAATATTCTTCTCTCTTGACCTTAACAGGCATTATGTACCTTAATTCAGACAGAGAAATCAACATATCTTCAAAAGATTAAAAAAAAAAAACCTAAGGGGAGAAATTCAGTTATTAAACATAGTTGGTCTCAGTGCTCTTACACTGCTTAATTATTCTTATTAGTTGAATAAGACTTTTCCTGTCATTTATAAAGTGATTTATATTGCAGTATATGTCACTGGTCAGTGATTTTTTTTTCCTTTAAAGTTCATTTGTTTTAACTGTACAAGGAAGTATCAAGTATTAAGTCTTCATTGAACATTTCTAGATGTGCATATAATTTTATAACAGTGAAGCATACTGAAAAGATTATCTTACTAGTTTAAGTCTTTGCTCTGTCACTTAATGGGTTTGAAACTTTGGAGCAGTCACTTAACTTTCTGAATCTTTTTCTTATCTCATCTATAAATGGAAATAGCATTTCTTCCCCTGCTTAAATGATAGAGTTATTATAAAGATCAACATAATGCTGAGTTCAAGATAAGATCAAGATAAGGGGTAATATATCAATATAGATATAGTTCCATATATGTATGTATATTTTCATATAATGAAAAAGATCATGCATGAAAAATATATATGATACATATAGTCAGCCCTCCATATCCATGGGTTCCATGTTCATGTACTGAACCAACTGCAGATTGAAAATATTTGGGAAAAAAATGGATGGTTCTATCTGTACTGAACATGTACAGACTTTATGGGATAGGGAACCTGCAGCCTTAAAGTGAAATGTAGCCTTTTACGTCCTTAAATGTGGCCTTTTAACTGAATCCAAATTTTGCAGGACAAATCCTTTTATTAAAAGGGGTGCAACAGAAAAAGATGAAGCTTTTCTTGCCTCCTTTGGTGCTTAAAAAGAAGAAACTTGAAATAAGAAGGCTGCAGGTTCCCTACCCCCGAATGGGAAAATGTGTGTGTTATATGCTAATACTACACCATTTTATGTAAGGACTTGAGCATCCATGGACTTTGGTATCTGCAGGGGGTTCTAGAACCAATCCTCTCATATATACATTCTATGTGAATGATTTAGTCTTCCATGCTTCTGAGGGCAATGAGCGTAGACACAGGCTGCCTAGATCCCTCCCCAGCTTTTAGAAAAGTGGGAAGGTACAAAGGGAAGCGAAGCTGTCATCTTGTCCCTTCTCCTGTGGGAATAACCTTCCATTTTCTTGTGTTTTGTTTCCTAAGTAAAGAAGCAGAACTATAGCAGTGCCCATCTTGCAAAGGAGAATGAAGCAATTTGGTAGTTTGACTGGTTTTGTTACATGAAAATATCCTATATATGATATTCTTTTTCATTATGATTTTAAATGCACAAAAGTATTCCATTTTGCTTCTTCCTTTCCATTGCTAGAAATTGTTTGTTGAATGAAGATATAAATATATTTTCACTCAACAGGATTCATCAGGTCCCACAATTAACAGCAAGTCATAGATTTGAAGTGAAAATAAGAATTTTAGTTTTCATTTACTCAAGAGAATGGAGTCAGAGTTAGATGAGGGACATAAGAAGGAAGGAATCTTATTCAAAAGAATGCTGAAAGAACTATAAGATGCTTTCCTGAATATTCCATTTAGATGCTTTAGCTTGCATTTTGGCTTTTAGGTGATAGACCTTACTGTCTCAGAAGTAGAATAAAGTGAAACCCTTAACAACAACAACAACAAAAAGCTGTCACGTTGCTGATTTTTTATGCAATCCACATGCTTCCATAGAAGTCTATTAAAATAAAGACAATATAGCCTCTTTGACTAAGAGTGAAAATAAATATAATTCGTCACAGATAAAATATAAAAACTCTTAAAAACAAGTTTGGGGTTAGGGCTAAACTTAAAACTTAGTTTATTTAATTCAATGATAGAAATAATTTTTAGAAATAATGTATTATTATTAACCCTCCTTCCCTCCATCTGTTCCTCCCTCCACTTCAGTCTCCCTTCTCCCTCTCCACCCTCCCACGTGCCCTCTGAATCACAAGTGATTGAACATATTTGAGTAATTCGATGTTAGTAAACTGACAGAAAAGTTATCACCTTGGCTGTAGTTTCAGCCCAGAGTAATTTGTAATAGCCAAAATATGTTAAAGCTTACGAACACAGCTCAAGCCAGAAATGCTGTCAGCCAAAAATAGGAATGAGTAACTTGAGAAACAGCAAGTACTTATTTGGTTCTCATAGTTTAAGAATTGTAAACTAAGAACTTTCTATGTAAAGTTAGAATGCCAGTCAAGGACCATTTGACATCTTATGCTTAGTTCATAAATAGAAGATTTCATAAAAAGCATCACATATTTTTATTTCTTTAGGGCATACTCTCAGAATGCTTTCTCATTGAGGAATAGTATTAGCTTATAGGACTTTTTTCTCCCCTACAAATTAACTTTGGACATGTATTTACAGGTCAATGAAGAAGGCCTGACAAATGATCCTCTTCAGATTTCATTATTAGTGTTAAATAGCTCTTTACAGTACCTTCTATGTGAATGATTTAGAAAGCAGTTCCCAAAAGGTTGGAGAACTCCAGGAATTTGCATCTTGGGAAATGATTTCTATGTTCCATTTAGGTAAGAGAAATTTCCTTCAATATCTTCAGCTCGAATTCATGTTTTTCTAGCCTTTGTTTATTTTGTGGTTAAAATAATAGGAGGATGTATCATGTATTAAGAGAAAGGCAAATTTTTATTTTATTATTAATATGACTATATTAACCTTCATAATGTGACCTATCCACTTATTTTATAGGTGATTAACTGAGTTATTAGTAAGATAGTAATTGGAAATCTGGGGTACAATTCAAATCTTTTGATTCTTAGCATAGTAGACCACATACACTGGTGATAATTGTGAGGTTTTTGTAGCTATTGTGTTTGAAATGTTTGCTGACTTATGTGGGATCTTTTGTAGTTTGAGGGTGGATTTGGCATGACCTACTTCAATATAATTCCTATTAGTAACTCCATTGAAGTGTTAAATGATAAATCCTTTGAAATTTTTTCCTTGGATAATCCTAACTTAACTATATTATGAAAATAGAAATAGCTCTCTAAGGAAGCATGTGTGTGCTTATGTGTGTGTGTGAGTGTGTGTGTGTGTGTGTGTGTGTGTCTTAGCATCTAGTGTTTCTGAAAAGCAGATTCTTTGGGCTTCTTTTTGTCTCTAAGAACGTTAGTTAAAGCTGCTGTTGACATTTTCCTACGTAATGCAAGGATTTATGAGAATGCCTTTTCATTTCAGGGCATGTATATAAGATTTAAATATAATCACAAGACTTAAAAGAAATGATCCAGTTTCTTACTCTAAAGCAGAGTGACAACACTTCTTTATCCCACCACAAAGTATCATGATGAGGGTGACATGTTCCCAATTGTGATAAATCTTGTCAGAAATAAAAGAGCATATTTCTAAAATTTAAGTGTATTTACACCTGAATTTTCAGAGTGGAATCATCTGCAAATATTATAAGTGGTCAGCTAATGTTCTTTTCCATGTAAAGCAAAGATAACTATATATTTTAGCTAATTACAGACCACCAAATCTAAGGATGTTTTGTTGATCATTGTGTCTGTGAAGGGATACAAAGAAAGAACACTAGCAAAATTACACAAAGAAAGTGGATTCTTATCATCATTATAACCAAGTGTTTGTTACTGACTTCTCTCCTCTTTTCCACCTCTACATCTCCCTGTACATCTTTCTATTTTAGAAGGAATGAACATTTTCATGATTTTTTTCTCTAATCAAGCTCCATTCTCTCTTAAGTGAACAATAAGGTGATGACTTAGTTGTACTAATATAGTTTTACATGGAAGAGATTCTTTAGCTATCGTGCCTATTGAGGGTCTGCTTTTTTTGAAATCTCCTTTAGCTGGGGAAGAATTAATTGATAATTATCTTAATTTTCACAAGGAAAGATAGAAGTTATTTTTATTTAAATAAACCATGATATTTTTAACAGCTTAAATGAGATGATTTACTTTTTCCAGTACTGGTAATCTGGATTCCTCTGTCTTTTGAAATGGAAACTGTCCTAACCCCATAACCTCAACATCACTGTGAGTAAAACTCTTTCTAATTATATGACTGTATAGTGTGCACATTAGCATTGCTAATCAGCTTACTGCAGTGAGTTTGAATCTTTACTACTGATGTTCATAAAATGTCCTTTGACATAATTACAGCCCTATATCAGTGCTTAGATACTACTGTATTTAAAACCACGGGTCTGAATTTCTTAGTGCACTATAGTATATGGAAAAATTTTAAAACATGTACAGTTTTATATGTCACTAATTGGAGTTTCAATACAGTTCTATTTATCCAAAATGTTCATGGTGCCTAATGCTATAGTACACTAGATCTTTACCTTAAAAAATAAAAAGACTCCATCTCATTTGTTTTTGCTGTATTTTTGTTTCTTCTATGACTGAAAAGCAGTCATCTCTTCTCGGGGAAAGTTTCTTAATCTATGTCAAAGAATAGGTGATGATTTCTGAAAATGACTTCCAAAAGCCGTGTGTGAGATCATCATGATTGTCCCAAATGAATATTTATAAAATATCCATTAGATTCTTAACATTATACTAGGTTTTGCAGAGATTTCACTGAAGACAGATGATAGTATTGAGTTGTAAGAGGGAGAAGATTCCTGTGAATGTAATTTTATACATATGTAAATATGAAGAAAATTATTACAAAATTGGATTGTATATATATTTTTAATATTAATAAATACATGGTATACTGCTAATGCATGTGAATATGGCAGAAGTATGATGAAAGAAGTATATATGGAGCAATTTCTGTATTTCCTTCCAGAAACTATAATCCTTAGGCAAATCTTCCTCATGTTAATGAGTTATGAGAAATGAAGCAGACTGTAGTAGTAGCAAATAAGAATCATCTTATGTGCTACCCACATTCAACACTGCTTTATTTAGTGGACAGCATAAAGGAATATAACTATTGAAAGAATAAAAGAATTTAACATGATAAGAATGATCAAAATAAAGTCTTTACAGCCCCATTTGCAGTGAAATGACATAGCAAGAACTTCAGTGGTAAAAAGATGACTGGCAGATTCACATGTGGCAAATAGAAGGAGAAAGAACCTGAGTGCAGGATTACTGTACCTATTAAAAGTATATTATAGTCATTGTGAGAAAATTATGTTAGTTTAAATGAAGTCTGTAAAATATGAAATTCATAAACCTATAATGAAGGATTTGTGAAATAAAATCTTGAGAAAAATAATGAAGGAAAGGAATACTGGTAAATAATGGAAGGAAAGGAAATAGTGGTAAGGAATAGTAATTCTGTCAGTTACACATCACATTTATGAAGAATAAAAAGATTTATAAGAGAGTTCTTGGACAGGCAAATTAGTATTAACTTGAAAATTCTCCCACTACTAAACATCCAGAAATGCTAGATAAAAATGCAACAAATACTCTTTTGGATATATAGCTGTGCTTATGAGAAAGAAAAAGTTCTCAAGACCTAAAATTGTATAGGGTTTAGAAAATAGAGTGATAAGCATGAGTACTAACATGGACTACCTTGGGAATGGCAACAGGGGATGTCCTAGCCCAAGGATTCAGATTTAACAGCCTGTCAAGATTAGGAGACAAGATCTGGGGCCTATGTAATGAACAGAGTTAGAACTAAAACACTAATGTTAAGCAGTAACCCTGGGAGCATTATCAAATAATAGAGTATTTAAAAACAAAAAATGCTGATCTCCAGCATAAAAAGACTAAAAAGAAAATTTTTTCTCAGCCTCGACTTCTGTGTCTAAGTGGGTTTTAAAAAAACAAGCTTCCCCACAAATTTCTAATCATAGACATACCCTATTTTCGGTTTGAGGTTTAAATTTACACTGTTGCCTAGTTCCTCTGCTGAGAAATCAACCTGCAAGTAGTTATGGAATATTAATACTCTTGAGGTACCTTACAGAAGCTAATAAGACAAAAGCCATTTTAGAAGGGCAAATTCTCAGCCCAGGCTACATTGTTTTCTTTCAGAAAATGTACTGCTTAGCATGGGCTTGCTTTCCAAAAGTTATAAAATATGTAAAGAAACATGAAGAAAAGTCAGTAGAACCAAGATACACCAGTATTATCCTCTATTAACTTCAGATAAAAAAAGTATAGAATATTTTTAAGCAAAATAACCAAAGCGTAAAATAAGAACATCTAAAAAATGAAGATATGGCCAGTGAAGAGAGAATTAACAACCAGAAGATCAATCTGAGGAAATTACCTTGAAGGGAGTATAGCATTACAGAGATAGAAAATATGAAATGGAATCCAACATACATATAATAGGAGTTCCAGATGAAGACTATCGAAGAATGAAGGAGAAATAATATTTGGTGAAGAAGTGACTGAGAGTTTTCTCAACAATTTTATAACACCTAAATATCTGTATTAAATACCTTTTAACTTTAAATATTAATACCTGGAATTGTTTCTCTTTATCTGACTCATACATAATGTTGCATAAGTTATTATTCAAGAATGAAGACATAATAAATACATTTTAAGAATAAATAAGGTGTGAAAGAGTCCACTTACTTATAAACTCTTCTAAAAGAATTACTGAAAAATTATTTCAAGTAGTAGAGTGAGCCTAGAAAGAAGAAGGCCATTATACTGAGTGAAAAAAAAGCCAATCTCAAAAGGTTACATAAACTAATGGCAAAATTATAGTGAAAGAGAGCATTAGTGGTTGCCAGGAGTTAAGGTTGGGGAGGGATGGAGAGGAGTGGGGGTGGTATAAGGAAATAGCATGAGAAAGAACTTTGTGATATCAGAATATTCTATGTCTTGAGTGCAGTGGTAGTTACATGAATCTAATGTGATGAAGTGACTTAGACCTATACACACATGTCACACCAGTGTTAATTTTCTGGTTTTGGTATTTTACATAGTTACTTAAGATGTAACAATTAGAGGAAACTGGATGAAGGGTTTTTAGCCTTTTACATACTACTTTTGCAACTTCCTGTGAATCTATAGTTATTTTTAAATGAAAAGTGTTTTTAAAAAAAGGAAAATAAGAGTGAAACGAAAATGCTGGACAATAATACCATGTTAGAAAGAGGAAGATTTTGCTTTAAGAGTCAGAAATACCTTGTATTATATGAAAGGAAAATACATTGATTGACATTAGATTTTTGTCAGTTTTCAATGGTAAAAGCTTAAGTATATCTATCTACTAAAAAATAAAATGTCAGTATATGACTTTCAAGCAAGTATAAATAAAGGGAAAAGAGTGGGGTAAAGCTAATTTAGAAGAATAATTTTATTTCTGGAAATGTACAAACTAAGTACTAAGTACAAACACCAGCTTCCCACTAAAAAAATTTTAAATGATGAGTAAGATTTTTTATATTCGTGGTAAGAAAGTAAGGGAAATTCAAGCCTAAGGCAAAGAGAAAGCAAGAACCTAAGTCAAGTAAGCAAAACATTGCAACCAGCTTTTGCCTTGAAGACATTTGGTAAATTGGTTTTTATGACTTTCCAAGGAATAATAAACAGGACCCAAAATCCAGGAACTGCCCATGTAAATATCTCCTTAAAGCTGAGAACCCAAAGGGATAAAATATCAGTATAAGTGTGGAGTAAAAATAAACCCTTTCTGTACCCACATCCTCAAGAAGGAAATGAAAATGGCTGTCTCTAAACTTGCGGCTCTGTGGAGAGACTAGGGAGAGGGAGTGGATATATTTCCTGAAAATTCATAGCCACAAACCAGGTATAATGTAGGTCCCTAATGTATACTATTTGTGATCTGAAAATCTTCAAGCCAAGAAATTTACTTTAAAGTAAATTTACTTAGTTTTTTAAGAATAAAAGGACTGAAAATAACTGCAAATGGATTTTGAAGAAAAAAGCAATTTCTAATAATTAAAATATCATAAGTAAAATCTGAAGCTCCAAGAACAGGTTTAACTGAGATACCGCCAGCAAACAGTGACGGAAAGCTAGGATCTGAACTAAAACATGTATCTGAAGAGATTTTCATAATAGAATGGAGTACAAATCTTATCGGAATATCCAAGGTTAAGGGAAATGGAAGAATGGAAATGAAAAATCTATATCTATGATAATTAAGATTTAAGAGAGAAGAGACAAAGAAGGGCATGGTCGATGGCTGACAACTTTCCAGAATCTGTAGACACCAATCTACACATTCAAGAATTCCATGAATTAATAAGCAAGAGAAATAAATTTGTTGCTAGAAACATATTGTGAAACTGTAGAACAATAAAGTCAAGGGAGAATTTAAAAAACAGGTAGAGCAAAAAGACAGGTTATCTTCAAGGAGCAGATATTAGCCAATTTCTTAACACCAGCAGTGGAATCAGGAGACTAGAATGAGATCTTCCAAGGTATTGAGAGAAAATACTGTCAGCCAGAATTCATCAAAAGTTTTTTATGAAAGCAAGAAGAAAAAAAACATTTTTATACATTAGAAATTGAGAGAATTTGATACTAGCCAATCTTTGCTAAAGAAAGTTTTAAACTAAACAAAGCGTGTGAATACCCAAACAAAAACTAAAGGAAAGAAAACACAAGCTGATCAACATTGGGAACCGAAATCGCGAAGGAACCTCGGAGGAAAGTATGAAGAACCAAAATGAAAACACATCCCCAACAGAGGAGCACCAGCCCTAAAACGACACCAACCCAAATCCAGGCACACAAGAATGACGAAGACGGAATTTTCGTATTGTGACTCAATAAGAGACAATCACCGACCTGCGCAACACTCAATAACCAACACAAAGAAACCACAAAAAGCCTCAGGACTAGAAGAAAAGTCACTAAGAAATAGACACATGAACGAGAAAGTTGAACCCGAACCCTGGAATGGAAGAATCAATTCAGGGACTACAAAATCAGTGGAAAGTCTCAAGCAACAGGGTAGATCAACAGAAGAACGAGATCTCAGAGCTTTGAAAGATAAACCCTCCAACTAAATAAAACCGCATCCACAGAGAATAGAGCAGAGAACAAGAGAAGACGCAAGCCTAAAGAAATTTGGGGAT